TATTTTTTTGAAACTTTTTGAAACTTTTTTGAAAGGAACCAGTGAGCAGCACTTGATGCTAGGTTGTAAAACTTTTTTATTTTATATCTCCTACGCATTTCGTCTAACTCTGTACACTTCTTCAGGAAGTTTAAAAAAAGACTATCCTTATCTACATATAGGAAGTAGGGCATGTAAAGGAAACGCGTATACAGGACTCTAACAAGGGAGTAACATAGCTTACGGATGTTGAATAATTTTTTGATAATTTCGGGGGCGAAGTTATAGCTATAASRTGTTTCCTTTACATGATAATGATGATGACAATAGTGATAAAATTGAAGAAGATGATGRTGATCAAGATTACAATGTTATTTAGATAGTGGTGTACAATTATCCTGTTCATTAAATTCCTTGTTGAGTTTTATATGTTAGTTAATAGTCATTTGTTGTTGACAGAAAAATTAGCATCCCCCCTACCATTACAAAAATAATTTAACATCCCCCCTTGAAGACCCCCCCCCGTGGTATACATAATGAACGCCGCTTTACCATTTTTATAATTATTAAATAATTTTAACTAAATCTTATACATGAATGGTTCATTGTTGTTTAGATTGTGTAGAGAGGTCTCTTGTAGGAAGCAACAAACTAAACATACCAGATAGCAGTTACACAACTTCTTCATATTATAAAAGTCTAGGCAACCCAGACGACGTTCGATACCAACCTCATAACGCCAAACTGAATAGCAAATATGGATGGGGAGCAAGAGATAATAATAATCCTGATGATTACCTACAGATTGACCTCGGTACTCCACGTATTATCACTGCTGTAGCAACACAAGGAAGTGGCTTATTTGATGAATGGGTGACAACGTATAAAATCAATCATACCAATAACCTTACAAAGTGGACAAGTTATATGGAAAATATTGGTGGGATTAAGGTAAAGTTCAACGCTTAATTTTAATTTTACATAAATCAAAAACGATTAGAGGCTTAAGCAATTCATCTACCCATCGAGTATAGTCTGAATAATAGCCCTATTGTCAACTCCCACCGCCATTTAAAGATACATGGAAACAATGACAAGGGTGGAAAATCATCGGGGGGAAAAGGAAAAAGTTCGAACGGGCGAATATACATAAGCAAACGAGTTAGCACGCATCAATTAGTAATTATTTTAATGAAATATAAGTAGAAGGATGTATGCAGTGTGTAAAGAGAAACGTACGTTTACCCTGTACTGCTTGTAATCATTTGTATTTAACGTTTGATCTGTCTCATTGGTTCTACTGAATACGATAGCAACGTTCACTTTACTGCGAGCAGACTAAAATGGCAAAATCGCTTCTTTAAAGAGTGTACTTTGGGGAAATAATTCGCTTCTTTCCAAATTATAACGCCATATCTTTTTAAAAGACTTGTATATATTAGCTGAGTGGATATTGTGACTATTTTAATGTTAATTATAAAGCCCTATTTGACACCTCGTTTTCATGTATGTTTTCAAAATGGCGGAGGGAACTGTGATTAGGGGTATTGACGTGACGTCAAATGAAACACGAAGCAAACGTTTTGACAAAATGTTAATTACATACCTACGTCTACCACTTGTGATAAAATCATTTTTTCTTTTCTTTTCAGCTCTTTCGTGGAAATTATGATCAAMGCCATGTCCAGAAACATCCATTAGATAATTATATAAAAGCCAGATACATTAGGTTCATACCAGTGCGGTATCATAAGCATAAAACAATGCGAGTCAATGTCTACATTGTCAAAAAAGGTAAATAATTCAAGTAAATTATTGGTTTAATTTTAATTTTTATATAAAACTGAATATGCTTTACTCCATTAGCAAAAACAGAATGGTTGCGATTGTTAATGTAGATATTTGATATTTAATGATATAAGATAAATAATGGAATTATTGGCGTTAAAGACGGCCGTTGTATTATGATAGAACCATTAGTAAAACTAAACTGCTCACTTTGGCACAGTTGGAGGTCCTAGTGAGTTCATTAATCACTATCTTGGTGCATCTGCGGAATCGTCTATCACTTTGGTGGTAAGTTAGGGYAATCCCTCCTAAAATGCCCATTTTGACCTTAAAACCAGAGCATGAATATAAATGTTTTAATGKCAAAAAAGAAGAARGAAAAAAAACTAAAATAATTAACTAGTTTCTGTATACAATAGMGATGCCAGTTTTGAAGCAATTGTCRTGACAACAATATCTTTGAGAGCAAAATAAGTTAGTTGAGATACCACTAACACCAAAGGAGACTCTAGGCTAGTAAATAAGTTACTAGCTAGGACCGTACCTACAACTGTGCCAAGTTTGAACAAAATCGGCGAATCCCCATATACATGTATTACACCTTAACTGRTCCTGTCAAGGACACACCTTTAAATTATCAACTCATATACTTATTCTTAGAGCCTCTACGAATTACATCTGTTGTTCCGAAAGAAAGGTCTATAGAACTGCAATGGATGATTAGCCCATGCAGACGTGATGATCCCATTAAAGGGTTTACTGTCAAAAATGGAAGACGAACTTTCGACGTRACTTACAACAGCAGCAAAAGTTATACTATACAGAACTTAAAACCATACACCGATTACGAAGTGGAGGTTATAGCCATCACGAACTTAGGATACAAATTTCGGAGTGGAACGAAAAAGACTAAAACAAAGATTGCAGGTATTGTAATGACAAGCAATTTAGCAACTAACTAGGACTCGATGCTCGATTGAAATGCTGCATGCATTGATAAATATGTAACATTGCTTTTGGGTCATTAGAATTATTATTAACAGTTTTTTGTTGTTGTTTTACTGATCACATGTAAATTAAGCACCAGAGGCACATCCAGTAATAGAAGTTCTTCAACCACTATCATCACAATCAGTACTTATTAAATGGAAGGTAGGTATAACGGTGTACCGGCGTGCGGCAAATGAAATAATCAAAACTTTGCTCATTATATATTGATAAAATAAGAATAGACCTACATATAACAAAGCTCTGCTTCGTAATTATAGGTTGCATTCATTAGAATTTACGTTGGTTTTGTGATACTAATTTTGCTAATTTCTTTTCTTATTACCGTTTTTCACATTTTTCCCCCTACTTTTTTTATTTTTCTTTATTTTTCTCTACTTTTCTTATCTTTTCTTTTCTACTACTAC